GACTTAGAGTGTTTGAAAGCCGAAACTTATAACTATCACAAAGAATCTTTGGTAGTAATTGTAGCTGCGTAAGGACCTCTACCAGATTTTAAAGGTCTTTAACATTTACGAGATCTCCAAGAGTCACCAGAGCGCTTTAAATGCTTTACAGTTTTTAAAACGCCTTTATTTTCAAGACTTGGGCTTCTAAGAGATGCCATGGGTCGTTAAGAGCTTTTACATGTATGTAAAAAAAGCAGTAATTTCAAAGAGATACTGAGATTCCCCAAAAGATTGTCTTGTCACTTACAAGAAGAGGGCAAATTAATATTTTAGAATTTCAGCCATAATTAGCAGGTGTCTTTTCCTATGCTAAATTAAAGCGAGAGTGGGAACTGCAAGGCCAAGGAGGTTTAGCCGTTACCAGCCCGATAAAGCCGATCTGGCCGGTTGATTTCCATTCCAATTAACAATGGGTTTACCAATTGTACGCGAACTACCCCAAGTTCGTAGCAAAGTGAGGCCACTTTCCGTTAAAAAGTAACATCAGAGAATCTCAAACAATTAATGCAGTGACCATGAACCAAAAATAATTAATACGTACGGGAATGAAAACAAACTATTCAAGTTTTGTTGGTATTTAATCTCTGACATAATTGAAAATTATGAAGCAGAACAGAAAGTTGCGTTTCTGTTGGAGTGCTTGATTTGATTAAATTACTGCATCAGTCAAATGTAAAAAGAGCATTTCAGGACCCCGGAAACTTCAACTGACCATTCCTGTCCTTCTTCCGGAATAGTATATTAGGTATTAATACGAGCAATAGTAAATTTTACCTCAGTACATCATTCCGCAATTATTTTATTAGAAAACCAATATGACCTGCGCCGTACGTAATAAACGCAACTCGACAGAATATAATCGAGATTATTCGCAAATGTTTCAAACGCATTAGACATTATAGCAAGGCTTTTACTAATTATATTCTGTTACCGTAGATCATTATACCAATTACCGTTTTGTTTAAAGTTAAAGGCGTCACGCTGTGGAAATAGCATACTTCATTTGAATATTATATTATTCGTACAAATCTGACAATTAACAACAAATGGAATTAGTACCATACCAGGTAAAGTATAAGGCGACATATAAGATTAGTTCCCTTCCATTCTTAATGTACTAATTAATTATCATTTCGGGTAATTCGCACTTAAAGCGGGCTGCGCTCACTTCCCGAAAGAAATATTGAGCCGCCTTTCTCCTCTAAAGTGTACGCACAATTGAAGGTAAACGAAAAGCAATGAATAATGGCTTTTCAGAACGTGTCGAAATTATTAAAGGGGTAAATGGAATCTTTTAAGTTGAAACTTCTGTAGCTTATTTAATATGGAAATCAGAAACAGTAGGAGACATTATTAAATATTGAGTACGATATGACTTACAAATTACTCTACCTTACAATTTTGGGGATGAATGAATGTCTAATAAATTATTCGTTGAACTGAAGAAACGATTACAATTTAATCAGAACGCCGGGAATTAAACATTCTTGTAGGAAAATCATTTCTGCTATTTTTGTAATCGACTGCTTTCAGTTCCATCCCTTTGTCGTTTCTTTTATTTAAATTTCCGTGGAGGATTGGGCGAGAAATTATCATTTTGTAATTAAGTGCAAAAATCGATTGCAGATTAGGTTACTACCTACTATTAGTATGTTACAAGGCAAATTCAATATTCAAGTTTGATCATCCATTAACGAAACCGGAAGAGGAAGCAGAAGTAAGACGTAAACGATCAGCGCGCCAAATGGTAACCTCGCACCATCCATTAGTTCCACCTTTACACGCACCTGCTACCATCCACCGCAATTCCATTTCCCTTTGATAAACTTTACTTACACTATGTAAATTTTACTTGAACTACCCTAAATCTGTCGATTTATCGCAATGTCAGCGGGCCTCTCTCAAATGATATGAATAATATACAAACTAATCTCTAAAAGAAGGGTATCTTTCAGAATAATCCCCAAAAACACGCGGCGCTTCTGTCCGATGTAGTGAAATGAAAGTTTTGTGATATGGGTACAAGAAGATTACTATAAGAAGAAAAAAAGGGACGTAGAAACTTCTGACATTCCAGTTAAAGTTATTTCGGATTTTAAGGTTAAGCTTTGCAAGCTCGCAAACTTCGGAGCACCTTAAACTGAAACTTTATAGAAATACAATTACAACTTCAAGAAAAGTAAAATTAGAGTCCAAATAACTAAATTATTTTCGGAGTAATATTTACTCAAAGTTTGTATTTATAGCTGCCATACGAGATATGTTAGAATCACTGAAGGGCTTCCTCAAGTTGAATTAAATTCGGCTAGCAAGCCTTATATGTAAGGAATTACGCATCCCAAGGCAAAGCTTGATAAATATCTTTTATAAGAGTTTTGGGTTCTAGCAGAGTATTAAGCATAAAGGGGTATATTTTATTTAAGTAAAATGGATGTACACCTTTTGATTATTTCAAAATTACAATGTGTATTTAAAGACCGTAAAATTTCATGTGTTAAGGGCGATTAGGTAAGTAACCTGCGTAGCTCAGATGAACTTACGTTAGAAGCTCTAACTTTGGCTACAAGGGTCCTGGGTTCGCATCCCAGGTAAAGGCATGGCTGTTTGTGATTGTATAGTGGGTTGAGTGAGGAAGAGTAGCAAACAGTTTTGCTTGGAAACGCTCATCAGAAACGTAGCACGTAGCTATGAGTTGTGCTAGAGTGTAAAGTCACCCCCCGACCCCGGTAGAGTGAAGCAACCTACCGCATGTTTCGAAAGTGAGGGAAACCGCACTACCAAGATAAGATTATTTGATGTGGAAACCCCTTCATTAAACGGATCCCAGAGCTGGGCAGAATACTTTCAAAAAGTATTCGAATACTATACAAAGTATTCGAATACTTTGAAAAGTATTCGAATACAGTAAAAAGTATTCAAATACTTGTCACTCAAATACATTAAAAATTTAAAATAGTATACCAGATAAAATGCTTAATACTACTTAAAGTTATACTTTGTATGGAGTTAGCTTTTTTATATTTCTATTGTTATATACAAATTGAAGGGGAGTAAAAGCGTATTATTATTATTATATAGGAGGTACCTACCAGGACCTTTCTTAAACCAGTTTAATCCTTAAGAATACGTGTACCAGTTTTCAAAGCGATCGTACGTCGTGCACATGATACGTACGCCTTTCTGAAATAAATCCTAGCGATTTTGGAACAGATCCATTTTTGACCATCCGTTTGTCCGTGTGCATAATTGTTTAGAAACGTGCGATCGCTTTGAAAATTGGTACATATGGTCTTAAGGATATAAGAAAGGTCCCTATTGTTTTTAAATTACGTAGACTATCGAGTTCGGTATTCAGATGTATCGGATTTTTATATTTGATTTTGTGACAATGGAAACTTTCTCTAAACATTTCTAAATTGTTCTCAAATATTTGAATAACTTAGTACTGCCTTTTTTTGAGGCCGGAAAAAAAATTGTCTGAGGTCGACCGGGAAAAAACATTTTCTTATAGAATGGTGGCCTGAAGAATCCACAATTTCAATCAGTTCCAAGATTGGGCCACTAGAATGAAAGTTACAGCCCTTTGAATTTTTTTTCGAAATTTGTTTTTTGTCCATAATTTTTTATTGAGAGGTCTAATCGAAAACGTACGAATTGTTTTGGATTCTACGCACCAAAATTAATAAGAAAAAGTGTTTTCCCGAGAAATTTTGGTGCAGTCGATTTTTGGCAAAAAGGAAGGTTATACACTGCCTTTTTTTGAGGAGCAAAAAAAAATTGTCTCAGATCGACCCGGAAAAAAAATTTTCTTATAGAATGTGGCCTGTAGAATCCATAATTTTAAACAGTTCCAAGATTGGTCTACTAGTTCAAAAGTTACGGCCCTTTGAATTTTATTTCGAATTTGGTTTCTAGTCTATAACTTTTGATTGAGAAGTCTGATCGAAAAAGAACGAATTGTTTTGGATTCTACGCACCAAAATTAATAAGAAAAAGTGTTTTCCCGAGAAATTTTGGTGCAGTCCATTTTTGGCAAAAAAAAAACAAAAATTTGTCTCAGATCGACCCGGAAAAATAATTTTCTTATAGAATGTGGCCTGTAGAATCCACAATTTCCAACAGTTCCGAGATTGGGCTACTAGTTCAAAAGTTACGGCCCTTTGAATTTTATTTGGAAATTGGTTTCTATAATATCGTTTGTTAAAAGCGAAATTATTGTAACGTAATTGAGAATGGGAAACGGTAACGGAAATTTACCGTTGGTTAAGCAGTGTATATGGACTGTTACGAACATCACATGTCGCTATTTCAATCCCATAAGCGTGGATGATGTCCATTCGTCTCAAATGTGAGCCCTTGCTGTAGTAAAATATTATGCTTCCGTAATAAATTTAATAAATTACATGAGCTTTGCTCCCCCTGAGATATTTTCCATGGGTTTAAGGATATTTTTAGAAATTCTTTATTACCTACTTTGGTCAGTTTGTCTTTACAAACGTACCGATCTGTACTCTACGTGGGCCTTCTTCTAAATCATTACAAAAAAAATGATGCCAAGAATAGTATGTGACGTTATCCCACAGCCCATAGTTTTGAAAATACAAGTTTTCATATTATTTATCATTGCCATTATCCTGAAATGGTTCAAGTGTTTTTCGTACGATTACAATGCTGTCCAATTACTACAACTACAATATTCAAGTTGGCTGAATTAATTATTATGAACATAACAATAAATTTTATTTCTTGCATTGTCTAAAATGTATCCGTATTATATTAATTAATAAAAGCAAATTCAAAAGATCTGTCTTTAAACAATGAGAAATTTACGAATTTCACGTTGTTCACCCGAAACTAAATCGGTAAACACTTAAATTTCAAGGTATTGACACTAATTGATAAAGAAACATATCAATTACAGGCAATTCGATAATTTTGTTCACAACGACTTGAGATCGCAATGCATACTTCACGTGTTTTTGCTTGCCTATTACTACATCTATATCTTGTGGAAGCCCTTGTACCAAGAGAAAAACTGGAAGTGTTCGATTTTTCCCCTCAACTAAGTACACTAACTTTCGAAGGTTTCTCCAAAAATTGTTCGCAACAGCTATCTAACTATGTCACGGATCTCTTGGATATGAAGCGATGGGCAGTAGAAAGTAAGTACTTACTGCCCTGTCCAGTGGCAATTATCATATACCTACGGTTTTAGTGCATGACGCGTCCGGAAAGTATCCAACGGCGAATGTGGGCGGCAACTCTTTCTCACTGGGATCTTTTGACCAGTGTATAAATATCGCTGGAGGTCCACCAGAAACTGTAATCTCCGGCAAATACTGCCTTGGTAAACTGTTTACGTTTTTGCAACCGAGTATGGTAAGTATCGGATTCTTGTCTAGTCCTCCATTTAGCCGACTTGAGTGTATACTAAATACCAAACCAACCAACCCTGCTGTCACTTGAAGTTGTATAGCTTTATTCTTTATGTTATGCTTAAGAACTTCATGCACTGAATGTTAGTCCTACCAACTCTCATTGGAATACGTTAGGAAGTTGTCCTAGTGGTTGGATGATACGGACGTTTTAGATCCATCCGTGAAGGTGAATATGTCTGGTTGGAATGCCACATACTTATCAAGAAAGATGTGATAGTTTTTCCCTAATATGAATAGCACAGTTTGTAATGTAAATATGATCAGTTGTTAGCACTAAGCTTTTAGGATCGACCTACCTTTGAGGATATCACCATTGGTATCTGCATACCAAGTGCGTGCACGGGCAAAGAATTTGCAAAGTATTATAAGAAGAGCAAAATGGTATCCGTATCGGAGGATTCTTGTCAAACTAAAAAAACTCATTTCCAATTAGACGTTGGAACCAAAATTGTTTTGTATGTATGGTTCCTATGCGATTAATGTTGAAAACAAATATTTGTAGAACTTTTTTTACTCTCTGGATTTTATGGGTAATATTCTCCACGATTTATGACATAGTAATTCAACATCTGAACAAGGGTTGGTAACTAAAGAAGTTTTAACGTTCATAACGATTCGTGATTGTTTTAGAGCCTTCGCATTGGTTATTGGTTTCCTTTTCCTGTTACACAAACGCCAAGAGGCTTTTTGATATAACCACAGACGAAACTGAGATCACCTGTTTACGTGGAATGCGGGTGTTAACGATGATATGGGTCATTGTAGCGCATCACCATATGCTTGCTTATACTTTGCCACAAAGGAATAACTACAAAGGGGAGGTAATTTCTAATAAGTAAGGTTTCTAAATTCCTTTTTCTTATTTTAGTTTTTCGCAACGCATATTACACAGGGTATAGTGGCCACTGGATCCGAGGCTTCGGTCAATACTTTCTTTTTGTTGAGCGGATTGACTTTGTCCTATGTTTTCATGAGAAAAACAGGCAAGCTAGAGAAGTTCAATCTATTGGCGTTTTACATTCACAGATACGTTAGATTGACACCAACGCTGGGTGTCATTATTCTTGTTTATGTCTTCTTATTGAAGCATATGGGATCCGGACCCTTGTGGTCCGAAATCGTTGGACGAGCATCTGGCGCTTGTGAGAGAAACTGGTGGAAAACCTTGCTGTATATTCAAAACTTTGATCACCCCGATGGCATAGTAAGTAGTTTAACAGGATCGCCTTAACCTAAGGAATGCTTGTAAAAAACAAAATTGACATTCCTACCTCGGTATCAAAAATTGTGCCGTTTATTAGAAAATGTTTGGAATCAAGTTAGCAACGGGAATTTCCAGCAACGTAACCCCAACCAGTATATACATTAATTATTCTTTGGAATCACCATTGTATATACACCAAAGCGGGCCCCGAAAAGTTAGCAACAAATGATGGTATGAAAAAATAACGTTGACACATGCAATAGCAATACTGCAAGTTGGATAAAATTTTCATCGATATCGATGTACAATTAATGGAAATGTTATTTTTCATGAGGAAACGGTTTTCCACACTTGGCACACATTTCGGGAATAATTCCCTCCAGGTTGGAAATATTTTTCAAATTTCAACTTTAACGTGTTGAAACATCAATTTTCAATGTTGTTTTTGTTATGATGTGTTGCCATGTAAATAGGTGATTTAATTCACATTGAAAGAAACGTTGAGCGTTGAGGTTGCTCAGAACGAATACCTAACGGGGCCTGTTCCCCTAAAATATTGCAGAACAGTGCCCCGTTAACCATATATTCGTCATGTGCAGCAATCCCTACTAACCTACTTCAGGTTTCGGTTCAATTACAACCTACATCAGGTCCGACATGCTGTCGGTTGCTAAAGACACTGATTTTGTGACAGAAATAAGGTGTTGTAATCTTGTAGTGCGTAGGGCAGACGTGGTTCCTTGGGATGGACACGCAACTTTACCTTCTGTCACCACTGGTGCTATTACCTTTACTAAAAAAGCCAAAGCTAGCTCTATATGCAATTGGCTGTCTTGCCATGGGCTGCGTGATTTTGAGTATTATCCCAACGTTGCTCTTTCGTGAACCTGGATATTCGTAAGAGAGATAGTTTCGATATTATCCCTAGTGATTGTCTTATTTTAGGCCGATTATTAGGCAGATGCACGATTGGGCGCCTTATAACGTGGCTGGTCCGTGGTTGCTTGGAACGATTTTGGGCTACCTCATATACAGTAACAGTAACAGAAAGTCGGACACAAAAATTAATAAAGCAAGTTCGAAGATCAATTATGAGGCATAATTTACTTTAAGTTTAGATCTGTGTTGTAGTTTTATGGACAACTGCCATTGTTGTGATACTCGCGTGCATGTTTTTTCGATTTCGCAGTATTGCATTTATAGTAATTGCAAGACGTCTTACACGAACTGCATGGTCACTTGCTGTTGCGTGGATAATTTATGCCTGCCAGTTTGGATATGGGGGTGAGTAGGTACAATAGCTCGTATACTGCCCATCAAAAGTTTTTTCATCTTTCAAGGGATAGTAAACAGATTTTTGTCTAGCAAAAAATTTAAATTTTTATCAAGGATATCGTATAGTGTCTACTTATCACATATTTTGGTTCAAATCATCCTAATCGAAAGCATGCAGATGCCACTCGTTTTAACGGAAAGTTATTTGGTAGTATATGTGCATTGTACATAATTCTCAGAACTATATGTTTTATTCTTCAGCTGGAAATACTATTGATTAATTTTGCCATTACACTTCCGGTATCAATTTTTTTAACAATAACATGTGAATCCCCACTCATATTCATCGAGAAAATGGTACTAAGCAGTCCTAGGAGTAAGTAGGTACCTGTGTACGTCCGTTTAATTGGTTTACTTTGCATTTTAGATCAAATGAAAAATGTTGATAAGTCAAAAGGTATTTGATAGGACCTTGGGATAACGTTCATCATCGTTTCTACACCGAGTATTGTACATACAAGGTATTAGAGGACACATATCAACTTTATTAGGTTCTACCATTGAATAAGAAGCACAGGTTTTTGTTCGATGGTTCTACTAAGAATATAATAATACCTATATTATAAAAATGGCTAAGTTATAAATTGTAACAATATGTGTGTTCGAAATAAGGTTTAATATTGATAAATAGTAATTTAATTAAAAAGAACAAATTCATTAGTAAATCGATCCATTTACAGCTGCGGTTTTTCTTTACGTTATTGTGCACTGCGCAAGAGTATTTGTTATATACTCTGACTGCACTTACTCCATACTTCACGCAGTTCAGACAGCGCTAAACCTATTTCTCATTTTAATAACATATCACCCACTATATATTATTTAATGACACGGAAAAATTACCACAGTACGACAATCTAGTAGACAGATGAACTGCAAATGGAAGGAAGCCAAAGCATCATGACCTCTGCGGAGAGTCATAACGCCCAGTGACTAAAACCCCTACACATAGAAGCAGGAAGTATCAGTCAAACAGCCCAGCAAACACATTTACGTTTAAAAAACGTTTTTAAAGAGCTTTGAAAGGATACATTCGGTTTTTTTTTGTAGACCAATCATACCCTACGTTTAAAATACAATTTTTATTCATCCATATAAACAATAGAGTTGGTGTTCTACGTTCATAATATGTATATAAATAAACGTTTTTTAGCAATAATTTTATAAACGGATAGGTATATCATCACTTTTATTTTCCATGCTGAAATACTGGTATATTTAGTTCCTCCAAAATACGAATAAATTAGACATATTCAATTACGTATTATTTATGTCATAGTCTAACGAAACTGGTATAAGAAATGTTGAAAATAAGTAGATAAATAAACATTTTTTAATGTTAACCTGACAGACGTATATAATACGTTTTTAATTTACCACTCCTGGAACATTGAGATTGATTCCTTATGAATACGTATTTTGTACGATCGCATTCTTTCGTATTATATACGACCGTTTTCAAATTTATAGACATCCTGCGCAGATGTACGCTTCTTCGACGTCAGCAGGCACCTCTTATATGTATGCAAAAACGTATAAATTCGGCAAAAGCTCCATGTACAGCAAATGCTTTGATGGTGCGCAATTCCTTTAGGTAATTTTGATACGAAATGCTATATTTCTCACGCCATCGGCTAAATAATAACCAATTAAGAAATTAAAGTCTATTTAAAAAGGGATCTTTCCAATTTACGTGCTGCTACAGGTAATAGATATCGAAGACCTCCCACTCCTCGTGAAACGCACGCCAACTTCTTAATTTCGTATCTCGAAATTAATTACGAAGGAGCAAGACGCGTAGATAGTGTATCAAAGGTAATTAAATTCTAAATTAAAATTTATTTAAGGTTTACGTCGAAAATAAGGGATTACGAAGATAATGAAAAGTTTCTCATGAGCAAAGTTGCAGTTCTAAGTAAATTAACCCAACACGACCGTTTGTCACCACCTAATTAAAATAGTTGGGGATCTGGTGAAATATGGAACGTGGGTTATTAAAAGTTTACTTTAGCGTTAGAAGGTATAGTGGCGTTCAGTATCAGATTTTACAGAGAAGAGCTAAGCCGATGGATATTAATTTTCCTTCTCCATCAAATATTTAACGTAGGACGCAGGACTTAATTATTCATATAGGGCGAGACTTCGGAAGATGTGACACTCAAAAGTAAGGCAATGGAAACAAAATTTTACAAATTTAATCCACGATAAAAATAAAAATTATAACCCTCATGAAAGCTATTTTCTACTTATAAGAAGTGTAGGACGTGTAGCAATTTTATTTAAACATGTAGCCGTCCTGTACTAGTACTAGTAATGTAGAAATAATATTTTAATGCTACAACATTCCGTGAAACAATGGACGTTCTAAATCCGCATGGAACCGCGCGCGTAGATTTATTCCATAAACATGAAAAAACAAATTTAATTTTGTTGCGCCTTTTATATTTACTAAAAGTGGAAGTAACTTTTTGTGATGCATTGTACTTACCGTAAAAAATAAACATAATTAATGCAAGCTTCTGGGTAATTTAAGAGAAAAATCAAGCAAATGAACATTAATTGTGAGTGTTACGGGGAGAGGAGTGTGGGGGGGGGGGGAGGTGTACTCCACGAGAATTTTTTTGAGTTATATTCACATATTTTTACAACGGGAAATTGTTAACTTAGATATTATGTAACTGGCTAAAAAAGTAAGTTTTGAAATAGTGTGCCAAATACTAACATTCTTCGAGAACGCAATTCAATGAGCTTATTACAGTGCCATAAATTCTGCAAAAAGACAATTTGCCAGCAAAATTACACTGTCAGCACCACTGTCCCCAACTGCCGTGGGTTTGCAGGCGTTTAAAATTTCTCTTGCCACCTCTTCCTTATTGGGATAGTACGGTTTACGAATGAAGTTAAACATGTAGTTGGGGACAAAAGATTCCCACACTGGATACACCAAACGATCATCGTAATCTAGAAGTCCCGCTTCCTTCGCCCAGCAGTCCGCGTACTCATTGAACTGCTCGACACCTCTGCTTAGCACGAATGGTTCATTGACATGGCTGCTTACAAAAGCCTTATCTACGCCAAGTTGTTCCATACAAATATAATCCTCTAGTGTGTAGAATCGATTATCTACATCAATGGCGAATACCTGAAACGTTGAAATTTGTGCACAATTGTCATAAGCAAAAGGTATACCTGGAAAACTGAGAGTATGATGAAGATGTGTTTTAGAAATTCAGTCATGATTCACACGTTGTGAGAATAGACTATGTGATACAAGTGAACAACACATTGTGTACAGTTGTACTTTATTGGTGTTGTGAAACATGACTTATAACCTTTAGAATTTTGAAGCATATCCAATATTAAGTATATCTACTTGACTAATTGAGTAATATGTAGTAAACAGATGAATAAACAAAAAATATTAGATTATGAGGGGGTCAAGGACATAGTAAGAAAGGAAACTTTTTCATTAATGATTGAAAATAGAATTTGGAATGTATCAAACCCTAACCAAATTTTGTGCTAAGCCCTAGTTGACTTAATTTCACCCAGATGGAACGCCCTAGTAGTACACATAGCATTCGATATCTTATTTATAAACCTTTTAAATCCAAAATGTACAGGGAATATCCTATGTATATACTATGTACATTCATTATGGACATATGTATTTTATTTCCAGTGTGGACATTCTTTAAATATATATTTTGGATGTGATATGGACGTTTATGCACACACATTGTATGCATCTTTTATGTATATTAAAAGTACCTGATCATATTATATCTTATACCTTCTCGCGAGGATTTTCTAAAATCAGGAGTGAAACGAGTGTGCTTTTGTAATTTACACAGTGAAAGGTTTGTGTAAGACCTAAAGTTACAAGATATAAAGACAGGATGGTAATTACTAAGGTCAAGAATGGCAGGTATGTTAGCAATCTAATTCATAATCTATTATTATGAGCAAATGCACGTTTAGATTTATATCAGTTTTAATTTAGAATGGCTAAAATAAATGTGCTATGGACGATACAAATGAATGTGAAAAATAATTCCCTTGAAACAAAAACAACAAATACAAAATACATTTACAAATACTGCTCAAATTGTCCTCCATTTTCGTTAATGCATAACTGTATTTTTCGGCCTATATTATTATTTCTATGCTGTTTTTTAGGTGCTGTAAATCTGGATACACATTATTATTGTCCTTTAAATGGCCATCAAATACGGCCGTTAGTACCACTCCACTGATTCTGGAACATATTCAAATATTGCGTTACTCTTTACGCATTGTGGGCAGGTGCATCGTCCTGTTGATAATATAAATCTCTAACGACATTTAAGGGCACATCATCTACCATATTTGCTAACGCGTCTCTTAAAAATTGTAAATACCGATCAATTTTAAGGGTACCTTCATACATGCAAAAAAATACTTTATCTTTCAAAATAGCACACTAAACCAAAAAAAATTATAGGGTGTTCTCGGTACTCCAATACCGATTATTTCTTGCATTAATCATGCCAATATTATTTTGAAAAATTGGATTCGTCTGTCCAGATAATAAATAAAGTCTCTTCTTTCGTTTAACAAAACATAACAAAACTTAAGACATTTTTCAGGATCTCCACGATGCGCGGTATTTATTCCTTTTTGAAATTTTATGCCTACACTAAATTGGGCCTCAGTAGCAGCCATTCTAATAGATGCTCTAGATTTTAGCATTAGCGGCCTTTTTCAAAGTAAACTTTACGTTTGAACTAAAATTACTCATTTTCTAAATTTCTCAATTTTCCGAAATAACGTTACTTTTCGGTAACAAAATTGTCTAGGTGTCTATAAGGAATAATAGATAATTTGTTCCATGCTTTTTTTCTAAAACAACTAATCCGGATCTTGCAGTTTGGGGGACAATTTCTTGATCCTTGTAGGGACATCTGTCACAATATAATGATAAAGCTCCAGAATACTAGGCAGTTTCTTGTCTATTTGTATCTCTGGATTTAGATTATTTTTTACAAAAGAAGTTAGGTTTTTTCTTGACTTATTTTTTTGCGTAGTAATTTTAAAACCGCAAACGCGAAGAGGAAAAGGTTGGACGATTTTCTTCAACACATCTGTAAATTAACATAGATAGCTCTTTGGAGACAGGTATAACGGGCAGCTTTCGACACTCCCTTTAAAACTGGAACATTTGATTTTAAATCTGTTAATAATTTATCCAAACTAAAATCCACTGGCGAGGAAGAAGAATTTCCATCATAAACTTAATCTATTGTAAGATGTATTTATTGAGGTAAATTTTAAATCCACTTTTACTCTTGAATTGCTTTTTAATGATGGACCATTTAAGAATTTTTAAATAAGGCCAAATTCTTCGTAACAGCTGCATCTCCTTAAATTAAATTTAATAATTTAGGAAAGTGATAAAATTAAAACGAAAAAATTACGCAGCTATCGCCATTTTTAAAAGGAAAAAGAAATTCAAGTCAAATAAACCAACTTTGTTTTTATTCGTAAGAATTACTTCACATGCAGAAAATGGCCTACCCTTATAAATCCCCAACCAACATAACGTCTACGTGACGTAGGTAGTTTACACAGCAATATGTGCCTACCTATCAAATATTTGGGGGTTTCACACACTATCCATATCTGTTGTGCATACCTTTCATTTAACGAAAAACTACCAGGCAACCTAACGACCGAAAAGCAAAGTTTTTATTATTTCATTAATTAACCCCATTACATTCCTGGGGTTCGTGCTTTTCACCTTTCTGTGCTAAATTCGCCATTATGAAAGTAATTGGGAAAATACGAAAGAGGAGAACACGAAGAAGCAAAAAAAAAAGCTAATTGTTTATTCTCAAAGTGACGGTAACGGAACGGTTATGTAAGACAATGGGAAACAATGAGACTGGAGCTCTTAGCACGTTTTCTGACACACTCGTAAAAATGACACATTCCGCTAAGATCGTAGAGAACACGTGCAGAGCGAACTTCGAAATTATATTTATTATGCCTTTCACGAATTTTCACGCAGCTCTCTTTATTGCTTATTACAGCATTCGTTTAGATTTTCATACCGGGAGAAATATTTTAAACGCTTCAAGAGTAGAAATCAATTAATGGATTTCTGGTGCTTAATAAATAAACAAAATGATTTCGCCAAAAAGCGTAAAGGGAGAATGTTAACATTTTAATTCCTAATGCGTTCGAGACGGTGGGACGACACGCCATCCGATCAAGTAACGTGAGTGAAACCCGGATTTCCCGAAGGATTACGACCTGATTGGATGGACATCAGTACCTCGTGTCCGCTTGCATTTCGGCCTTTCCAAATAAATAACTCCTCCACTCAACGGAGATTACATTAGGGCAATTTAGTAAAATGATTTAAGTTTTTTCGTTACTCTTACGCGGTCTGGGGGAAAAGCTTCAAGCTTGAGGACTGTCATTTCAAATGGAAGCAAGAATTTAAAATGTAATCGGGATGGGTACAATCGCAATTTAGAAAGTTTTCGGAGCCCTTACCATTTAAACTTAACGTTACAATTTATGTAGAAAGTAAACTGTTTTTCTCAATGAATCCTCCTTCTTTAAAAAACTCATGTCACTGGTCGCTTTTCGAATTTTGCGATTGGTTAGTTTGAACGATCTCGAACGATATCAGACGAACCGCGTTGATTTTACAAGTTCAAGTTCAATTTAACAAACAAGTGCAGTGCAGTCGCCAGTCAGTGGTTTATTTACGAGTGCAGTGCTGCACAATACTGCGCACAACCTTAAACCTTCTGTTTTTGAATGTCAATCATCGTTCATTCAGCTTAGATCACACCTTGAATATCATGTTAATTGTCCCATAACAAATTCGGGATCTGCCACATTATGATATTACAGGAATGGGCTACGCAGTTTCAAAGAAACTTGCATCTTTCACCTGCCTATGATATGATTAAGATCAAGGTCAAGTTCGTAGAACCTAGAACACTGTTTTCATTCATTCGCACATTTCGTCGAAACGACAACGCACTTTGCTTTTAGACGAACTACATTTTACATCATCTTTCGTTAAGGTTGGTTGAGCAAAAACCTATTTATTCACAAATTTCGTGAGGCGGCATGACATTTTGATTTCATGGGAGGGAAATTTACAGCTTAGCCTCGAGCTTAGCTTTCTTCTGTTAAGATCGAGCTCAAGTTGGTAGAGCGAAATCCGAATTTCTTCACAATTTTTGTGGGGTATAACACTTTAATTTCATGGGAGGGAACTAAATTTTATGGCATTTTTTAAATTAAATTGGAGGTTAAGTGGTAGAGCAAAATCTTCATTCATTCACAAATTTCGTCGGAAAAAACGGCTGGACACTTTCACTTCATGGGAAGGAACTAAATTTTACACCAACTTTCTTTAATTAAACTCGAGATTAAGTTGGTAGAGCAAAATCCTTATTTATGATTAAGTTGGTAGAGCAAAATCCTCTTTTCTTCACGGGAAAATTGGCATTACATTTTGATTTCATGGGAGAGCACTAAATTTTATGCCATTTTTCTTTGAATATTGGAGGTTAGGTAAGTGGGAGAGCAAAATTTTCATTTATTCACAAATTTCGTTCGAAAAAGAACAGGACACTTTCATTTCATTGGAAGGAACTAAATTTTTTGTATTTCTCTTTGATTAAATTGTATGCTCGATTGTATGTGTTGTTAATAAGTGGTAGAGAAAAACTTCATTTATTCATCCTCAATTATTCATAAATTGCGTGGGAAAATCGACAAAACATTTTGATTTCACGGAAGGGAACTAAATTTTATCGCATTTTTCTTTGATTAAATTGGAGGTTAAGTGCTAGAGCAAAATCTTCATTTATTCATCCTCATTTATTTATAAATTTCGTGGGAAAAACGCCAGAACATTTTGATTTCATGGGAAGGAACCAAATTTTATGCCACTTCACTTTGATTAAATTCGAGGTTCAGTGGTAGAGCAAAATCTTCATTTTTTCACAAATTTCGTCGGAAAAACGGCAGCACACTTTTACGTCATGGGAAGGAACTAAATTTTACAACAACTTTCTTTTATTAAGGTTGAGATTAAGTTGGTAGATCAAAATCCTCATTTACGATTAAGTTGGTAGAGCGAAATCCTCATTTTTTCACAAAATTTGTGGGAAAATCGGCAGTACATTTTGATTTCATTGGAGGGAACTAAATTTTATGCCAGTTTTCTTTGAGTAAATTGGAGGTTAAGTGGTAAAGCAAAATTTTCATTTGTTCACAAATTTTGTCAAAGAAATGACCGAACACT